GGAAGGAAGGAAGGAAGGAAGGAAGGAAGGAAGGAAGGAAGGAAGGATGGATGGAAGGAAGGAAGGAAGGAAGGAAGGAAGGAAGGAAGGAAGGAAAGGGAAGGCAGGCAGGCAGGCAGGAAGAAAGAAATGGAGGGAGGGAGGGAGGGAGGGAGGGAGGGAGGAAGGAGAAGGAAATGAGAAAAAGAAAGGAAGGCACAAAAAAGGGAAGGAGGGAGGGAATAAGAAAAAGAAAGGAAGGCACAAAAAGGAGGGAGGAAATGAGAAAAAGGAAGGAAGGAAAGGAGGGAAGGAAAGAAGAAAAAGAAAGGAAGGCACAAAAAGGGGAGGAAGGAGGGAATGAGAAAAAGGAGGAAGGAAGGAAAGGAGGGAAGGAAAGGAGGAAAAAGAAAGGGAAGGAAGGAAAGAATGGAGGGCGGGGATCGGGGAAGGAAGGAAGGCAGACAGAGGGAAGGAAAGAAGCGAAGGGAAGGGAAAAAGGAAGGGTGGGGAAAGGATGGGAGAAAAAAGGAAGATAGGAGGAAAGGAGAGAAGAAGGGAAGGGAAGCAAGGAAGGAAAGAAGGGAGGGAGGGAAGAAGGGAGGAGGAAAGGAGGGAAAGCAAGGGAGGGAGGGGAAAGGAGGGAGGGAAGAGAAAGGGGAGAAATGGGAGGGGGCTGCCAAGATCCAACCCTCCTCCCCCCGCCCCCCTTGCCAATCATCCAACCACGCCCAGAAGAGGAGAACGTTCCCTGGGGACCCCCAAAGACCAAAAGCCCACCCCCCCGGTCCCCAAACACGGGAGACCCCCGGCAACTGACCCAGGGGGCGCCACTCCCCCCCCCGTGCCGTCGAAGAGCGAGGAGGGGTCACGGATTCAAGAGGCGCAGAAGGGTGAGCGGGCCAGGGGTCTCAGCCCCAACAGCCTCACCTGCAGCCTCGCCCCTCCCTCAGCGTGACGGGGAGGACCTTCGGGGGGTGGGGGTGGGGGGGGGCTGTTCAAAGGGGCTTCCACCCCCCACAGTTGGCGTGTGCGTGCGTGCGCGTGTGAAGGTGTGACGGGAGGAAGGCAGGCGGCCAAAGTCCGAGAGGGCGGCGAAGTTTCTTCCCGCTCAGCTCACATCCCGTTTTGGCATCTCGCGGAGGCCGGGGGGTTATTTTGGGGGGGGGTTTTTTTTTTGAGGGGGGGTGTGTGTGTCTCCTGGAGATGCCACCCCGCCCCGACTTATTTCTTCTTCTTCGTATGCCGCAGCCCGTTGGAGGGGGCCTCTCCGGCCGGCCGGGCCTTCTCCTCCTTCCTCCGCAACTGCCCGTTCTTCTCTCCGCCGGCCTGGTCTCCGCCACCGCCGGGATCGGCCACCGCGTCGCCCAGCCGACTCGTCTTCTGCCGGCCTCCGGGGGGCAGCCCTCCGGATGGCAGCCGGGCCCCCAGTCCTCGCAGGATGCCCACGGCCGCGGCCGTCAGGTAGAAGGACCAGATGATGGCTGGACCGGTGAATGGGCGGAGGTGGACCCGAACTCGCTGCAGCAGGCTGGGCAGGAGGGCATCCGGCGGGCGCTTCAGGGGGGGCTTGTCCTGGAAAGAGGGGGGGGGGGGGGGGGCGGGAAAAACTTCAGTAGGACAGGCTCCCACCCACCCAACTCCCC